AGGCTCTGTCCTCGGGCCCCTCCTCTTCTCCATCTATACCTCCTCCCTTTGCAAACTTATTCACTCCCACGGCTTCAATTACCACCTCTATGCCGACGACACCCAAATTTACCTCTCCACCCCCCACCTCACCCCCTCACTCTCTGCCCGCATCGCCCACCTCCTAAACGACATATCAGATTTGATGTCGCTCCATTTCCTCAAACTTAACCTATCCAAAACCGAGCTCCTGGTCTTCCCCCCACCCCGTGCCCCCCCCCATCCTCTCCATCACTACTAACAATGCCACCATCTCTCCCACCCCACACGCCAAAGTCCTGGGTGTCACCCTGGACTCCCACCTCTCTCTTCCTACCCCACATCCAACTGCTATCTAGATCTTGCAGGCTCCACCTCCGCAACATTCCTCACCCCAGACACCACCAAACAACTCGTACACTCCCTCATCATCTCACGCCTGGACTATTGCAATTCCCTTCTCACTGGCCTACCCAAACGAACGCTATCCTCACTCCAGTCGATCCTAAACTCCGCAGCCAGACTCATCCACCTCACCAAGCACTCCACATCTGCCTCCCCCCTCTGCCAATCCCTTCATTGGCTCCCGATTGCCCAACGCATCAAGTTCAAGCTGCTAACCCTGACCTACAAGGCCATTCACAATGCCGCCCCGAACTACATAACTGACCTGATACCCAGATACTACCCTACCTATGCCCTCCGCTCCTCACAGGACCTCCTGCTTTCTAGCTCCCTGGTCTCCTCCTCCCGCGCCCGATTGCAGGACTTCTCTTGGACTTCCCCCATCCTCTGGAACTCCCTACCCCAATCCATCAGAATGTCACCTACCCTCCTCACCTTCAGGCGCACCCTGAAAACCCTCCTCTTCAGGGAAGCCTACCCCAACCTCACCTAACACCCGACCACACCTAACAACTAACCTCGTTCACTCCACCCACCACTCCATCCCCCACAGCCATCTCCTCCTGTACCACCTTCCCCTCCCTCCTAGATTGTAAGCTCAAAAGAGCAGGGCCCTCGAACCCCTTGTGTAGTGTATTGTTACTGTCTTGTCTCATGTTATGTCCCCCTGCTACTGTACAGCGCTGAGCAAACCCTTTGGCGCTATATAAATACTGTATAATAATAATTTTTTTTTTTTTGTATTGGGTTCCCCCTTTAAACTCATACCAGATTTGAAGGATCTGATTTTGATTTTTGAGAGGACCCCATGTAATTTTTTAAACATGTATATCAAAACTTTCACTTTTACTTGCAAGCTTTCCTATTGCATTATTTACAAAAGAAAGGAAGCTTGTAAGGAAATGTAAATTATCAGCATTTTAAAAGCTGTTTTGCATTTGTAAATGTAATTTGTTTTCTACTACTTTGTTTACATTGTAGAGAGATGCAGCACTTCACAGGCAGGGTTTTTTTTTTTTTTATCCCCTTGACCAAGTCTTTACTGATGCTTTTTTGTTTACAAGTAAAAAATGTGTAATTTTTGCTAGAAAATTACTTAGAACCACCAAACATTATATCCTTTTTTTTAGCATTGGCCCGAGAGAATAAAATGGCTGTCATTGCAATTTGTTTTGTCACATGGTATTTGCGCAGTGGTTTTTCAAATGAAATTTTTATTTGAAAAAATACAGTTTAATGAATTTTAATGCAAAAAAACACTATATATAACCCAATTGTTAATATAAATATATCATATATATACAGTGCTCAGCATAAATGAGTACACCTCAACAGATTTTTCAAAAAATTTTTACTTTACTTTCAGAATCAACATTTTCTATGGGACACTATATTATATTACAAAATACTCCCATAAATGCGGGCCATTGATTGCAAACAAGATTTGTTCATTTGCATAAACAAAAAAAGTATTTTTCCTAATAATTTAATTCAAGACCATGTTGCAAAAATTAATGCACCCCAATTAAATTCTTAGGAGCAAAGCTAACTTTTAGACAACAAAATCCTAATTAACAAGAATTCGGCTACAAGTGAGTCAAATTATTCATTAAACAGGTGTCTAGCAGACAGTTGATTATAAAAGGGTGTTACTTAACAAAGAAAACCCCTCCCATTTCATACAATCAGCAATGGCACCACAAGGAAGAGAAATGTTACAAGGCCTGAGAAAGAGAAAATAATTTCTTTACACAAGAAAGGTGAAGGCTACAAGAAGATCAGCAAAGCTTTACTTATCAGTAAGAATACTGTAACAAAAGTAATACAAAAATTTATCAAAGATGGAACTGAAACCATCTCACAGAGATGTCCAGGCCATTCACAGAAGTTAACACCTCAACAGGAGCGTCTTCTGATGGGAAGGGTTGAAGAAAATCGCCATGCAAGTTCATTACAGTTAGGTAAGGAAGTAGAAAGCCAAACTGAGGTGATTGTTTTCCGTGGCACTATACGGTGTACACTGCAGTGGAATGGCAAGAATGGGTGTAGTCCACGAAGGCAGCCTTTCCTAAAGCCCATTCACAAAAAAGCCCACCTAGAATTTGCCAGGGCCCATACTTAAAAAGAAGAAGACTACTTAGACTCTGTACTCTGGAGTAAAGAGACAAATATAAATACTTTGGAACTGATGGCTTCAAAACTGTATGGCGTCGGTGAGGAGTACAAAGAAAAATGCATGGTGCCTACAGTAAAACATGATGGTGGTGGTGGTGTCCTTCTGTGGGGCTGCATGAGTGCTGCTGGTGTCGGGGAGCTGCATTTCATTTAAGAGTATCATGAATTCACAGATGTACTGCTCTATAAGGAAAGAGAAGATGCTACCATCACTCCGTGCCCTTGATTGTCATGCACTTTTCCAACATGACAATGATCCAAAACACACATCTAAGGCCGCTGTTGCATTTCTGTAGAAGAACAGGGTGAAAGTGATACAGTGACCAATATGTCTCCTGATCTGAACCCAATCGAACACCTATGGGGAATTCTGAAGAGACAAGTTGATCATCACTCTCCATTCAGCATCCAGGCTCTAAAAGAGGTCATTCCTGAAGAATGGAAAAAGATCGATGTTACGATATGTCGCCAACTTGTTCAGTCCATGCCTAGCACACTTGGTGCTGTCCTTACAAATCATGGAGGTCATGCAAAATACTAGATGTAGTAGTTTTTGTTGTGGGGTGTATTCATTTTTGCATCAACTAATTTGAGTAAAACTGAAGATTTCGTCATCTCAATTATAGTAACCTTACTTTCATGTAATGAGGTAAACAAATGTTTTTTGTCAAAATTTTGGAAATTGTTCTTGTGTTCATCGAGATACTGATTAATTTCTTACTTTTCAAAAGGGGTGTATTCATTTATGCTGAGCACTGTATAAAAGATGATGTTACGCCAAGTGAATATATACCTAATATGTCACTCTTTAAAAATGTGCATGCTTGTGGAACAGTGACAAACTACAAAACTTAAAAATCTCCACAGGTGATGCTTTAAAAATGTTTACAGGTTACCAGTTTAGAGTTACACAGGAGGTCTAGAGCTAGAATTATCACTCTCACTATAATGTTCACGTCGATACCTCACATGTGTGGTGCGAACACTGTTTACATACGCATGCGCGACCTATGTATGTTTTTGCCTCTGCGTACGAGCATGGGGGGACGGGATTGCTTTAAACTTTTTTTTATTATTATAATAAAATTGTTTATTAATTTTTATTTTTACACTGTCACTTTAATTTTATCACTTTTATTGCTGTCACAAGAAATGTAAACATCCCTTGTGATAAAAATAAAGCATGACAGATCCTCTTTATGGAGACACCTGGATTCTATAAGACCCCAGATCTCTCCTCTGCCCTTGAAAGCATTAGATAAAAAAACCCAATGATCTCATGCTTTCTAGAAAAAAAAATGGTTCTGTTTACATTTTCCCTAACTGGAAGTGACGAAATGCTTGTCACTTCCAGTCTCCTAGATCATAGAGATGAGCAGGGAAGTTCCAGTCCCCGATTACCTCTATTGTAAAGGGCCACAACTGCTGGATTGGATTCTGTGCTTGCCAGAGCAACGGGAGAAACTGGAAAAGCAGGAAAGCATTGAGAGGTGGGGGTGACCACTTCCGCTGCAAAGTGATCAGCTGCTTGGATCACTTTTACAGCTTAGGGAATTCCCACAATGATGTACATGTGAGTGACTGTGCGTCAAGTAACATCACTATTTCAGCACTACTAAAGTGGTTGTAAAGAGTCAAGGTAAGAAACCTTCTCTGTGCAACATTTCCCCCCAGCCCCCTCCTAATACTCACCTAAGCCCCCTCTCAATCCAGCAATGTGCACTGGAATCTAGGCTATCCCGGGACTCTCTCTCCTCATCGGTTGAGACAGCAGTGGGGGCCATTGGCACAGACAGCCAATCACAGCCAGTGAGCCAATGAGAAGAAAGAGGGGGAGGAGCCAAGCCACAGCACCGTGTGTGAATGGACACACAAAGCAGCAGCTGGGGAGTGCACATGTCCATGTGCCCCCATAGCAAACCAGGAGCGCCAGCAAGGGACCCGAGAAGAGGAGGATCTGGGCTGCTCTATGCAAACCACTCCACAGAGCATGACAAAGTATGACATGTTTGCAAGCCTTTAGAATCACTTTAAATTCACTGCTTCCTGCAAAATTGCATTTTAAACATTTTTTTGGCACTGATACAGGTCCATTGGACAGTGCTCACCCTCCACACTTTTTTTGACAATCCCTTGACTATTGAGTAGGGTACACACTATGAAAAAATCGGCGAACACTTCCGTACAAAAAAATATTGTAAGATTTTCTGATAGCGTGTACACTACTTTCGAAATCCCCTTCCAAATGAAAATTTCCAAAGGGACAAACTCCAAAACTTTTCTCCTAGGTCAGTGATGGCGAACCTTTTTGAGCCCGAGTGCCCAAACTGCAACCCAAAACCAACTTATTTCTTTCAAAGTGCCAACACTGCAATGAAACCTGAATATCGAGCTTTTGGTTTAGAAAAAACAACTCGTACAGTAGTGCGAACTAATTAACAGTACAGGGATGACCAGAGACTGCGGACATAGTACAGGAGATGACCAGAGACTGCGGACACGGTACAGGGATGACCAGAGACTGCAGACACAGTACAGGGATGACCAGAGACTGCAGACATAGTACAGGGGATGACCAGAGACTGCAGACACAGTACAGGTATGACCAGAGACTGCAGACACAGTACAGGGATGACCAGAGACTGCGGACACAGTACAGGGATGACAGGGATGACCATGAGACTGAGACTGCAGACACAGTACAGGGATGACCAGAGACTGCGGACACAGTACAGGGATGACCAGAGACTGCGGACACAGTACAGGGATGACCAGAGACTGCAGACACAGTACAGGAGATGACCAGAGACTGCGGACACAGTACAGGAGATGACCAGAGACTGCAGACACAGTACAGGAGATGACCAGAGACTGCGGACAGTACAGGGGATGACCAGAGACTGCGGACATAGTACAGGGATGACCAGAGACTGCGGACACAGTACAGGGATGACCAGAGACTGCGGACAGTACAGGGATGACCAGAGACTGCGGACACAGTACAGGGATGACCAGAGACTGCGGACAGTACAGGGATGACCAGAGACTGCGGAAAGCACAGGGATGACCAGAGACTGCGGACAGTACAGATGACTGCTGACCTTTGGGGAGGGAGGGGGAGCGGGTACCTGAATTTGACAGGTACCCGCTCTTACTTCCGCAGAGTTTTTTTTTATCTTACCTGTTCCTTTATCCAGCGGCGCGCTGTCTTCCCGGCTTCTGTAGTGTGGGCGCTCGTCGGACAGCCGGATGCCCAGTGCACATGCGCGAGAAGCGCTGCGCTTTGTGATTGGTCCGGCGGCTTCTGGGATCTGTCATGTGTCCCAGGTACCGCCTTACCATTCACAAAGAGCACTGCTTCTTGCGCATGCGCACTTGGGACCCGGCTGTCACGCACACTACAGAAGCCGGGAAGACAGTGCGCCGCTGGATAGAGGGACAGGTACGGTCCCACTGCAGAGCTGAGCGGCCGGCCCGGTATTCTGACACGGCGGCGGTGGAAATACCGGACCGGCCGCTCTATATTCGCTCCATAAGACGCACTGACATTTTCCCCCCTTTTTTGGGGGAAAAAAAGTGCGTCTTATGGAGCGAAAAATACGGTATTCTCCTGGCGTGCCCACAGATAAGGCTCGGCGTGCCGGCTGTGGCACGCGTGCCACGGGTTCGCCATCACTGTCCTAGGTGAAGAAAACTAATGATTTTATTTTCATGTGTACTGTTTACGTATGAGAAATATCAGATACAAAATGCGGCACATGATCGGAAACAATAAACAACAATGTAATCTATGTACAATGTTTCTACCTCATACAAAGAAAAAGCCTTAATCATTCATTAATTTTCACACAATTATTACCACCCTCGGGTACGACATAGTGCAAACAATCGAGGAAAACCGGATGAATGCTCTTCCAATTTTCATCTAGTGTGTACCCTACTTAAAGCTTAAAATTTGATAAAATTAATTTGATAGATTTAATTCCCATTGACATCAATGGGGTTCGGAATTAGTATCCGAACTTTTGATAAGTTCTTCCCAACCTCCGTGAACTGAACCCAGGTGTGTTTTGGCTTATCCCTAATGAAGATCCAGCAGCTGGCATATTTGATAACAGTTGGGCTATTTTATGTGGGGCACCAACATGGTGGTCACATCCAGGGGCGGACTGACAACTCATGGGGCCTCCGGGCAAAAGGGGATCATGGGGCCCCTGTATCCTCACCCACACCCAAAAAAGCCTATGAAAAAGCCAATGAAAGGTACCAGGGGCATCTCATGGTGCCCCCTACTGACCCCGGGCCCTCGGGCAGTGCTTGAGTGCTCGAATGGTCAGTCCGCCCCTGGTCACATCACAGGTGCCTGTGGAACCCAAAAAGGGACCTGCAGGATGCACCCTGTAATGTGTACCTGTTCACAGCAGAAGTACATGTGAGATTGTCATCATTACACAAGAAGATCCAGTTGGTAGAAAACCATTTCAGCTGACATGTTGTTCTCCTCTTAGTCAATGGATAACAAACAAGGGCCATTTTTTTTTTTTTATGGAGTATTATCAGGGATTATTATTATTATTATATAGGACTTATATAGCGCCGACAGTTACAGACATTACAGTAACAGGAGACATTACAGTAACAATACAGTTCAATACAAGAGGGATTAGAGGGCCCTGCTCCTTGGAACTTACAATCTAGGAGGGAGGGGTGAGTGGTACAAGAGGTAATTAGCTGTGGGGGATGGAGTGGTAGGAAGAGTAGAGGATTCCAGTATTAGCTGGGGTCGAGGTAGGCTTCCCTGAAGACATGGGTTTTCACAGTGTGCCTAAAAGTGAGCAGAGCAGGCGATAGCCTGATAGATTGGGGTAGGGAGTTCCAGAGGATGGGTGTAGCCCTTGAGAAATCCTGGAGACGGATATGGGAGGAGGAAACAAGGGAGCTAGAGAGTTGGAGGTCTTGCGAGGAGCGGAGAGTACGGTTTGGGTGGCATTTAGAGACAAGGTTGGTGATGTAATTAGGGGCAGTGTTACGAACGGCTTTGTACGTCAGTGTTAAGTGTTTTGGGCAATTGGGAGCCAGTGGAGGGATTGGCAGAGAGGGGTGGCAGATACAGAGCGGTTAGTAAGGTGAATGAGGTGGATTAGTAAAGTCACTCATCAAAAGTAATCTTTACATACACAAGATAAAGAGTATCAATTGGTATTTACTACAGTGACACAGTGCCATTTAGCCAAACACTTGCAATGCTTGTACAATGATTGCAGAGCAGGTTAGCAATCTCAGTGAATGTATTATATTCCGATAAATTCCCTGCAAGAGATATAGGGGGGGGGGGGGGGCTATCGTCTTCCCCTGACAATGCTATTTTTCTGACTGTGTCTGGCATTAGTACTTCTGAGTCATGAAACCCAAATAAAGCATGCTGATTGGAAAGCACAAGAAAGTTGGAATTCCTAAGGTGGCCACACACAGTTTTGTTCAAAAATGTTTGATTTTCTAACAGTTAACGGGGACAAATTAACAATCGTTTTCACCTGTAGTAATAAAAAAAATAGAAGCAAAAGATGGAAGATTGTTAATTTTCAAAATTGTTACTTTTGTGTTCAAGCAGGAAAAATCATACTCAATATGATGCGCAGGACAAGGTGTGTGTGTGTGTGGGGGGGGCAGAAGGGGCAGGTGTCCCAGGTGCAGTAAGTTGAATGGGGAGGGAGGAGTAGTATGACCATCACCAGTGGAGTGACACCGCAGTGACACCTGCCCGGCTGCCCAATGCATGCACAGCAGCACAGCACCTTGCAAAGTGGTACTGAGGTGCCAAATGCTTAGGTGCTCTCTCTGCGCTCCTGTGATAGAAGGATCTGCACTTCTGTCAGGAGAGAGGCACCATGCATGTGCGGTTTGGATGTATGGTAACTTATAGATTTCAGAGCAGCATGCTGGTGTTCTCATACTGTGGCCACTAACACCAATACTAGGGTTCATTATTGAAGTCACTGGCACCAGTACTGGGGATTAATATTGTGGCCACTGATGACAATACTGGGGGGGGGTTTATTGTGGTCACCAGCACCAGTTTCAGGAGTTAGTATTGCAGTTACTGTCACCAGTTTAAGTGTTGTTATTGCAGTCACTGGCACCAGTGCTGGGAAGTATTATTGTGGTCACTGCTACTAGTGCTGGGGTTTGTATTGTGGTAACTGGCACAAATGGTGGAGATTATTATTGTGGTCACTGGTACCAGTGCTGGGAGTTATTGCAGGCACGGGAATCAGTTCTGGGGGTTGTTATTGCGGTCACTGACACCAATGCTGGGTGCTACTATTGGGGTCACTGCCACTAATGCTGGGTGTTGTTATTTCAGTCATTGGCACCAATGCTGGGGGTAATTATTGTGGTCACTGGCACCAGTACTGGGGAATATTATTAAAGTCACTGATAACAATGCTGGGGGTTATTATTGCAGTCGTTGGCACCAATGCTGGGGGTTGTTATTTTAGTCACTGGCACCAATGCTGGGGGTTATTATTGTGGTCACTGGCACTAATGCTGGGGGTTTAATATTGTGGTCATTGGCAACAATGCTGGGGGTTTAATATTGTGGTCATTGGCACCAATGCTGGGAGTTGTTATTGCAGTCACTGGCACCAATGCTGGGGGTTATTTTTGTGGTCACTGGCACTAATGTTGGGGGGTTTAATATTGTGGTGCTGGGGGTTTAATATTGTGGTCATTGGCACCAATGCTGGGAGTTGTTATTGCAGTCACTGGCACCAATGCTGGGGGTTATTATTGTGGTCACTGGCACTAATGCTGGGGGTTTAATATTGTGGTCACTGGCACCAATGCTGGGGGTTATTATTGTGGTTACTGGCACTAATGCTGGGGGTTTAATATTTTAAAAACCGTTTGTGATTATTAACATTGAGTATTTTAAATGATTTTGAAATGTATACTGCTGAATATGTAATACAATGTTTAATATAAATAAACTTTGCTGTGCATAATTCTTTTTGTTGATTTCATAAGCAATAAAGGAAATCTGTTTACTATATCTGGAAATCCATGCAAGTAGCAGGTCCCCGATGAACATTTTAGGGTTTTCAAAAATGAGTTGACTCAATAATGGACACCATTTGAATGCTGACAACAATCTTTCAGAACTTCATAGGAATATTCAAACGAAACTAGTGTATACCCAGCTTCAATATATACAAGCTTTGTTTTTGCCAATAAACAGTGCTACAGGTTTGTACTCTTGAGAATACAAACCAATATTTTTTTCTTTCAGGTATTCTGCCTGATAAAAAATTTCAATGGAGCTGGAGGGAGGGGTAATGAGGTGAAAGGGGGGTGAAAAAACAAGAGGAAATAAATAGCTGGTGTAATAACCGGATGTTTTCTTACAGGGACCAAAAAAGTGCAGGTCTTAGGTAAATAAAATCTCACCATTGCGTGTTTATAACACCAACCATGGCTCTGCAGGAAGTAGACATGGGTTTTACACAATTCATATATTTAAACACTAGGGGCACTGTCTTACTAGAGGCAAGTGACATTTATTTTCCATAATCAACCAAGAGCTATGAAGACATTCAGTAGACACTTAAACAATCCCCGTTCTCACAAAAAAAAAAAAGATTTAAAATCTTGCCTAGCAATGTGTCACCCAGAATATAAGGGAATAGGGCTCGCACAGAACCTTACCCCCCTCCCTGTGACTGATCAGCCACATATTGAGGCTGAATGCTCCAACATGTATGTGATATGCAGGGGCGTACTGACAACTCATGGGGAGCCCCTGGGCAATAGGGGATCATGGGGCCCCTGTGTCCTTGCCCAAACTCAAAAAGCCTATGAAAGAGTTGGAGCACTCAGGAGCATCTCATGGGGCCCCCTACTGACCTGGGCCCTGGGGCAATTGTTCCGAGTTACCAAATGGTCAGTCTGCCCCTGGTGAAAATGGTAGTGGTGTGGGGTAGAGGATGGTCCACTTTGATTACTTTGCATTCATGGCAGTGATTTCA